CTGGAGCGGACGGAACCGCGCTGGATTGACGCCGTTTGTACATCGGTTCTTTAACCGGGTGCTGCAGAGGATGGGGAAGAACAGAGAACCGGGATGATGGTGGGGTGTCGGAGGGGTCTCGGGGGGGATCTGGCTGAGCACAGGAGGAGGCAAATAGAAGAAGTAAAAATGGGAATGAGGCTTCAGGAAGGTAACGCGGTCTGGAGCGGACGGAACCGCGCTGGATTGACGCCGTTTGTACATCGGTTCTTTAACCGGGTGCTGCAGAGGATGGGGAAGAACAGAGAACCGGGATGATGGTGGGGTGTCGGAGGGGTCTCGGGGGGGATCTGGCTGAGCACAGGAGGAGGCCCGGGGCTGGCAGCGTGCCGGAGGCAGCGGGTGGCTCCCAGCCCACGGGGGGATTTTCCTCCTTTCGCTATTTTCTCTCCAGCAGCGGGTTCCTGGGGGCAAACTCCTGCCAGGAGCCGGCGTTCAGCAGTGGTGGGTCCGGAGGGCTCAGCGGTAAAGTCGGCACTTGAACGAGGAAATATAATCACCCATTTTAATACCGCGCTGCAGGATAATTCACTTCCTGATGTCCCGTGGATTTATCTGCCGGGATCAGCAGCAGGGAATTAGCGGCGTGACCTCCTTCCGTCCCGTTCCAGCGCCCGTAAATCTCTGTTATGAACTCCAAGGTGCTCTGTGCAGGGAGGGCTGCTCCTCCGCTCCGCGACGGAGGAAAATGTGTCACTGGGGCAAGATTTCATCACTGGATCCTCACCGGCGGGGCCGCGCCTCCTGCCCTGGAGCCCTCCAGGAACCCCGGCACCGAGCGCTGCTCCCGGGGAACCCCTGGCTCTGCAGCCCCCGGCTCCACGGGATATTCAGGGATTTTTTGGGGTCTCTGTTGGGCAAGCCTGGCTGTGGGTCTGTCCGGAGGCTCTGCTCAGCGCCGGGGGGTGTTTTAGCAGAAAGGCGAAGCGATGGGTTTCTCCTCAGCCAGTGGATGAAGCGTGTTCAGTGTTCACAACCCCAGCCCGCATCCGGAGCTTTTAACTGATTAGATTTAGGAAAGGGAAGGAAGGATGTCTAATTGCTTAATTTCCACAATTATAGAAATATTTATAAATAATTAGGACTGATGGCAGCAATTACACTCTGATTAAAGCTGGTCTACACTTCATCAACGGCCCTTCAGTTACGGAGCCGTATTTATATATTTCCCCCATAAAAAATCCATTTTCAGCGGCATCGCTGCCAATAACGACCCATCCGCATTCGCAGCCAGCACAGCACTCGTTAATCCGAGGATGCTGCTTGTTACCGGATCGCTGCTGCGCAGAAAATGCAGTCGCTGGACTTGGGCAGGAGGAAATTTAATTTCAGTGGAGAGGAAACCAGAGCAGAGCTGAAAAATCACGACGTCTCTCCCTGTGCATGGGTCAGGGCTCGGTGCTGAAGCCGGCCGCACGCTCCCCTCCTGCCGCGCCGTCATTTTCCTCCCGTCCCTGGCACACATGGGGCATCGCTGGGCAGGAGGGGTCATTCCTCCAATTGCCATTTTTTTAAGAGAAGGTTGTGCCTGGTGATAAAATCGGGGGACCTGCAGAGCTTCCCCTCGCAGAGGGAAACTCGTCTGTCTGGGCGCTTTTCCTGCACCGACGGAGCCGTGGGGCTGGTGTGGGCTGGGGCTGGTGGCCGTCCCCTGTTCCTGGGGAGGGGGGATGCCACCTTCCCCTTCGTGCCACATCCCAGCCCTCCTCCTGCCTCCGCATGCGGGATTTCACATGTCCTTGCCAAGGTATCCTGGGATGTCCCCGCGCCACCCAGCCCAGAGCACCAGTGGTGTCACCCGGGGGTTCTTGGGGACAGAAATGACACCCTCCGCTCCTCATTTCCAAGCCACTTTCCACCACAGACAGCTCTTGGGCCGGGTCCTGGGGGAATTCCTGGGACAGGGATGAGCTGGGGCTGCACCCAGGTTCTCCTGGGCTCGGCCCCCATCCCAGGTGTGTTGAATTCCTGGGAATTGCAGATCCCGGGGCACCTGGACCTGGACCTGGTCCTGGACCTGGACCTGGACCTGGACCTGGTCCTGTTCCTACTCCTCCCCTGCCCACCCCCCACTGCCCCTCTCCCGATATTCTGCCGAGCAGGAGGGTGTTCCCTGGCTTGGGGAAGTGACCTGTGGTGTGTCCTGGGCACCCCTGTGACCTCTTCAACTCCCCTCGACTCAAATCTAGAGGAGCAGCCGCTGTGTGTATCGGTAGAGATGCTGCAGGTGACGACTGTCCCCCCAGAGCAGAGGTGTCCCTCTCACCCCAGCGGACGTGGCTTCATGACCGGCGGGTGAGTGCTTTCACACGGGCTGTGAAGCGTTTTTCTCAAGAGGTTTGTTCCAGGCTGGGAAGAGGTGGCTCTGACGTGAAAACAAGAGCTGTGGCCGCTGGTCGGCGGATTATTTTTGTCACCTGTGGATGTTCCAAAGCGCTCATGTGACGCTGGTACATGGCCCATGGGAAGGGCTGAGGTACAGGAGGCCCATGTGGAGACGGGGAAAGGAGGTTTTAAGCTCTGAATTTGTTATTTGTGAGGATTTGTCGCTGCTCCTGAGGGGTTGTCACCGTCCTTTGCAGAAGGGAGATGGGAGCTGCGTGGTCAGGGCTGTGCTTAGCCTCGCAGGAGACACCGGGGTTCCCCTGCTGTGCCGAGAGCACCAGCTGCAGCCCCCCTTGCCCAGAGAAGGTGTAAAACCAGAGCGGAGTGAAAAAAGAGGATTTGAAGCGGTGAGGGAGGCTCTCGTGATTCCTGGTGAGCTCTTGCAGCTGGGGGAGGCCAGGAGGGGCTGTAAAAGGGAAACTGAGGCGCAGCAAGGGCTGATGGCAGCGATTTGTGAAGTCTGAAGTGTGCCGGCGCTTCGGCAGCTCCGGAGGAGGGAGCTGCGAGGGATGGCGTGTCATGAGTAAAAGATTCAGCTGCGCTGGGGCTGTCACGGGCAGCGAGGGGGAGCGCTGGCTGGATGGAGAACTTGCACAGGAAAGGTCGGTGCGAAGCCATTTCCCATCAGTTTTCCATTAAAGTCTCCAGAATTAATGACACGAACTCCTCCGCAGTGCAATACTGAAATATTTGACCTATTTTTCTACTTTTAAGGCCCACTGAGAAGCTTGAGGCACTCTAAGAGCTTCCTGTCCCTCCAGTTTTGGGGAGGAGTGTAAGTTCACTTGTGCCTCGCTTGCCACTGCACTTGGTACCTGCTCACTGCTTTTTCCCCACAGTAATTAATGCACGTGGCGTTCCGCGGTCGTGAAATAGGCCAAGAGACACAGGCTGAAAAGCCCGTCTGGCTAATCTGGATAAGCCTGAGCCGTGCACACAGTGTCCAGTTGGCAGCTCCGATAATCAGCCTACAGGCAGTTCAAATGCTCGTTACAGTACATTTTATTCGTCAGTATTTAATAAGTAATGATTCTGAAAAGCTCAGAGCGTGGTCTGTGCCTGTACCGTCTCCTGCTGTGTTCCTGTCAACATGGATAAGTTAAAGTGGGTTGAATCAGGTCGATTTTTGGATGAATAACCACTGAGGAATTTCTAGATGCCATAAGAAGTCGCGGTTATGGAGGAGGAGGAGGAGGAGGTAATCTTTGCTTGACTTAGTCTGATACAGTGCAAGAGAGACAGGACGGCTCTGTGCCAGGAGACCAGGCATGGGTTTCCATGGCTGTGTGTGTCGGGGTGCGGAGTCCCCTTCGCTCAGCGTGGCGGGGTGACACCACTGTCACACGAGTGGCTTCAGAAGGGGCCACACTGGCCGGCTGTGCTCCAGAGGCGAAGGAGGGGACGAGCTCCCTGGTGTCCCTTGGCAAAGGGAGGCTGGGAGGTGGCAGCTCCAGGCAGGGAACAGCTCACAGAACTTCGAAACAAGCTTTAAAACCTCTGTTCTCGTGGCCGCCCTGCGGACGCTCTGGCGGGCTCACAGCACGGCCCGTGCTCTGCGGGAAAACTCAGGGAATGGTGAAGCTCCTGGTAGTAGTAAAATAAAATCCTTACTAACAGTGCATTATGAGTGAATGATTGCTTGTCACAGGCCCAGCAGCTAGCCCTCAAAAGCAGATCGGAGTCTTTTCTGGAAGGAAACCATTCCCATTAGCTCAGTGCTTTGGCAATCCATGTCTTGACTTGTTACTCATCCGGTGAACTTGACGGGGAGTTTACAGCTGGTGTAAGAGGATCAGCTGCTTGCACAGCACCTGGGGCCAGCAGAGCTCTGCCACAGGATCTGAGGCAGCTGAAGGAGACTGCTCTGCAGCCTCTCTGGGATATATCTGTGTCTTTTGGAGGAGCAGCAGGCAAGAAGAGAACCCTGAAAGCTGGGTCCTTCATTCCCCTGATGGCGGGGCTGTAGGGTTTGTTATGAACCCTCTCTTTTCTCAGAGACACGATTTCACTTCCTGCTCTGCTGTACGGGTTTGCACAGCACAGGCTGGAGCACTTCAAACATGGAGAAATGGGGAAAAATCAAGGGAAGGGCGTTCAGTGTTTTTTTTTTTTTTTAAATCACAAAGATTTTTTATTACTATCTGCCAGAAATTGTTCCTAGAGACTCTGGCCCATGTCACTGTGGCCCATAACTCCACTACGACTCTCTGCCATCTTTCCCCGAGGTGTTTACAGCTCCTTTACGCTCTCTGAGCAAACTGCAGCACGAAGCTGCAGCATGTCTGGTGTCACCACCAAGAAACAGACTCTGTGTGTTAACAGCCACATAAAAAAATTCCTTTTTTTTTTTCATGGAATTACCTCACCTTGTGTGAACAGTTCACTTTATGCATCACCTTTACAGTCTACACGGTCCCTGAATACAGAAAATCTAGGGGTGTGTGGATGATGTTTTGCAACTGTTCAGAACTGAGCGTAGGATTCCAGAATTGGCAGCTAACAATGAAAAGAACATCACAAACCCAACAACGCCTTCACAGCTGCTCTTCGGTTTTCCAGTTTCTGTTGTCAGTTTATTAGCAAGATCTTGCTCCGTACGTTCTGACTTGAGGCTTTGGACAAATCTGGCAGGTCACGTCGTTGTTAGGACTGTAAGTTCCGGGATCGCAAACCACTGCGGAGAGAACACAGTGAGCATGTCAGCCAGCAGCCCTCCGCCTGGGCCAGCCTGAGCCCATCACCCCCACCACGTGCCTTCCCAAGGTGGGAAGCGAGATCTCTTCCTTCCTGAGCTCGCTGAGCCTGCCTCTCACTAAATACTCTGAGCTCCAGAACCAGCAAGAGACGCTGCTTGAAAAACAGCTTCTAAAACAGCTGTGTGTTTTCTAGCAGCGCTGCCATTAAGTCAATTGTCTCTTGTTTGCACTGTATCCTGAGCGTAGTTGCTCACCAGTGAGCTGGAAGGAAAAAAAAAAACCCTTCACTGCTTCCACTGACTTGATTTGGAAATGCAGTTACACCTACGAGCGTGCTAACGAACACAGCCAGCCTGTCTTCTCTTCCTAGCAGTTTTTAAAGCTCTGTGATGCGAATGTCTCTGCTTTAGACACCGATATTTACCAAATGCTCTCAGAGAAACTTGTGATCAGAGCTACCAGGCTACACTGAAATTGATGTACTTTATATTTACCACAGCAACTGGCACAGTTCTTGTGGGTGAGATCGTTCTTCCCAAAACCCGGTCGACAACTGTCAATGTGAATAACGGAGAAACTGTTCTCTATGTAGTGTATTTTAGGAAGAGTTTTGAACTGGTGCCTCAAGGCATACGTCTGCTTGTCGAAAAACTCTCCAATTCGACCTCTTGCCTAAAATTCAGAAACATTGTCAGAATAAAAAATAGTCAGTTGTTCTTTCTTGATTTAAAAATATCAGTAAATACTTTATAGTCCCAAGTTCCACACACGCTGACCTGTCACCTTAACTGGGAGCGGTCCTTTGGCTTTGGGGCTCTGGGATCAGACCCAGCGTGCAGTCTGATGGCATCATTTAACATTTGGAAGCCAGAAAGAACAGATTTTTGAAATCAGCTACAGTAGACTTACTTTAAATCGTATTCCATTTACCAAATCATAAATCAAAAATCCAGTTTAGAGAAATGGTAGTTCAGTATACTAATATAAATACTAATGTTTATAATTCTTTATTCTTAGCACTAAATAGAAAGGAAATAACGAGCATGATTTTTTTTTTTAACTGTTTGGATCAATCTGACTTAAAACCAGTTTTCCATCCTGAGCTGAATTATTTTAAATCCATGAATCATCATTAACAATGATATTAATCCCATAAAATCTGGGTGAAGCTGGATTACCACCAGTCAAATCTGTAGGTGCTAAGGCAGAGATTTGTGTTAAATACGCAGAGAAGGCTCAAGGGTGGCTGACACAGAACCTCGTGAACTCTCGCATTTGTCAAGTCTTCGCAATCGTAAGGAACCTCATGGCAAGCTTCTTCCCATCCTGGTGCAAAAGGATTGACTATGGGTGAGGGAAAAAAAGGATACATGTACATGGGTTGAAGAATGTACGACAATGAACTCAAATACCTCAAGCAGGAATCTTCAGGGTGATTTCAGAAAACATTGACAAATACATAAACTTTTACACAAACTTTAAACATTTACATAAACTTAAAACCTTAAAAAAGTTTTAAAAAAATTTTAAACCTTTTAAAAAAATAAATGTTTTTAAAACCTTTTTAAAGCCTTTAACAAAAAGGTTTTAAACTTAAAACCCTAGAACAGTTTGTTCTGTTTCTTGACTCTACTTAAGGGGGAAACAGCTACAAAACTGTCCCATAGCCCGTTGGATGGTCGCTTTTGGCACCTGATGAGAACAGACACAGGAGAGAATGTGGTCAGAGCATTAATGAATAATTTCCTCTCCTCAGTGATAAAATAGCTCGAAATTAGGGCAGCCATCAGGGTTGATTTAACCTGTTTTGCAAGTCAATACAGCCCCATCAGGATTACCTTAAGGGAACCCTGAGGCTCTTGCTTTTAACCTCGTGCAGTTTCCTAGAATCAGGCAAAGCCACAGAGGTCACAGGCTTGTTAAAAATCAAATAATGGAAAAAAAATAATCCGACCGTTTTCCTTTTTGTACAAAAAACCCCCCCCAAAACATGGCATCTTATCAGTTATGTCCTTTCAACAATCCTTTCCAACTGCACACCTTGAGAAGCAACGTTTCTGGCTAAGGTGGTGAGAAGTACAATGCGACACATCCACCCCATGAACTGCGCTTTAGCTCCATCTGTGGGCTAGTAAGAAAAAATACAGGGACTCCGAAAGAAGGCAGGGAAACAGCTTCTGAAGGTGTACTCGGCTTTAGTGTATTTCAGATGATGTTTATGGTACTCTCGGGTTGTTTATAAAAATAAATGTTCCCCCCAAACAAACACCGAAAGCTGTTACCTTGAAAACTAACAAAGAGTTGGTGCAGGAGGCCTTGTTTTGGCATCTTGACAGAATGGCATGTGTAGGACGACTCTACGATCTGGCACGTCAGATCAGAGATGATGTTATTCAAGATTTTCGTTAGCTCCCCAAAGAACTGGTCGTTTGCTGCCAAATCGCATTCCTCTGTAGTAAAGCGAACAAATACCTGGTATGCGAGGTCAGCTTCCCTGTATGCTTTAAGAAAACAGTTTGTGAGTTCTGCGGCTAATCACAGACTGAATCTTATACAGAACCTTATCGTCTGTATCAGTGTACTCTGGATCTGAAATACAGGCTCTCGTTCAAGAGTAAACAAACAAATAAAGCTTACTCATTAACCAGAACAGAACAAATTCCTTCTTGCCAGAGCTGACTCAAACAGTAACAGAGGTTTCAGTCTGAAATGTACAGGAATTTACATGCTCATGTTACAAGGCTTTACTCCCAGGTATTAAAGCAAAGAAGGGGACTCAGAGGAGACTGCACTTGGACATGAGCTTCCGTTTCAGATCCTGGCTAGCACTGGTGTTGTTGTAGTTCACTTTATTCTTGTTAAGGGTAGAGATTATTTTATTTTTTGAGTTGACATGTATTTTTGGTAGCAGTTATTGAAAACCTTTTCCAAAACAAGGAGAAAGGGGGTGTGTGTATAAATATAAAAAAATTATTTTCTGTTCTAGGAGAAGTTGTTAGCTAATTATTTCTTTTTATCAAGCCTTGCAGTAAACATGCATTTCACAAACCCACCAAACTACACAAGCTATGTGTGTTAGCTTACTAGTAAGTTAGCAGTCTTACCGTATACCATAAATTTATATGTCTCAAACACTTTTCTCTCTTCTCGTGTCGTAGTTTCTAGGATTTTGTGAGAAAGAGTGCAAGTGTAGGCTCCAGACATAAACTCCTTAAAACTCATCACCATCAGCTTTCCTGTTTCTGTAAGATTCACGTGCAGTTGTCCTAGAAAAGAAACAGGAAATATTTGATTACTGGAAATGTTTGGCTGCTGATGCTCATTCAGACCATTTGAAGAGGAGATCTTGTACATAATGACACTGATGTGTGATAGTCTGAAACAGTCTAAAATTTAGGACTTATTGCAAGTTTCCTTCTGTCTCAAGCATTTGAAAACTTTTAGAGGGAGAAGAGAAACACAGTCTAATATCAGAGCTTGTGGAAAAATCTGACAGAGGACCAAGTGACTATTTGGACCCACCATCCTACTGCAGGGTGGCACCAACAGAAACAAGGAAAATATGTGATTGCACGTACGGTAATCTACTTAAGCCATTTGTGGTTGACTTTTCCCCTGGTAAACAGAAAACAGAAACTGTTTCTCTATCTCAGCATATTTTCCTGATTGCCTCCCCACTCCCTGAGGCAGAGGCTGTTTTTAAGTTTGTGAAAAAGTACAGTAAAAAGCCTGTTCGATTAGTGACTGGGGAAAAAATGGCTAAGGCAGGCAGAGTGGAAATCATTTGTAGTCCAAATAAAGTGACTAACCTTCTAAATTTCTTCCATCTGGACCAACCCACAAATACTTAGGATCTACTACTACTTCTTGAGAATGAGCCAAATCCATACATAGTAGAAACGGGCTATTTGTAAACATCTTAACATACACATTAACTGCAATGGAAGAGAACAAGGTAAATGGTGTGAAATGTTTATATTGAATGAAATGACCAAAATACTGATTTCAAAAATAGATTTAATAGTAATGCAAAGTTTATTTTTCATGTTTGGACTTGGAAAGCGTGAGGTTAATGTTTTGTCTCAGTTTGCTCTTATTAATATTGTGGAACTGTCCAGAGCACGGCTGGTGCTGACTGCGTGGGAGACACTTGAGTCCCACACAAACCATGCTGCAGGGTCACAAAAAGCACCAGATCTTGAGCTTGTTGCTGAGTGGGACCCTCATTTAGACGTTAAATTTTCATAAGTGCTGACAGCAGCAGCACGGGACAAATGTATTTCCAAGCCCACCCTCCCTTGTTACTGTGTGCTGTCAGGATCGTGTTCTGGAGTCCCCAGCGCTGTGTTTGCAGCTAAGCTTGGTTGTGTGACTTCCATGTGTAGCGGTGTCTATGTAACGATCACTGTACTTAAAACTCCATTTTAAAGCCTAGTAAGACCTAAAAAAAAAAAAAAAATAGATTAAAAAGACAAGTTTACCTGCATGTTTGATATTGCCATAAACATAATTACTTTGTATTTGATCAATAGAGAGTTGCTCTTCATTAGGTATGGCTCTCACTGCAGGGAAAAGGACTTGGAGTATTAGAGAAACCTCAATGTGTCCTTGTTAACCCTTTATTTTGCACTAGCAAGTTTCTGTCTCTTGCCTAACTCTTTCTTTCTTCCCCACACCCTTTTCTTAAAAACAAGGGCTCTCGCTTGTTGCTGACTTGTCAGTTTTTGTTGCTTTAGTGCCCAAGTTGCAACTCTGCCCTCACATAGCAGGTTCCAAACTAGCTGAGCCTTTGGCTTTACAAAAAGCCAATAAACTCAGTATAAAATCTAACTAGAAAGCGAAGGCTGTTCACAGTGACCCCAGGGGGGGATGAGGACGGTGCTACATGGTGACTGTGGGAGGGTATTGAGCCTTCAAGCACCCGTGAGCCTTCGCCTTTTGGGAAACACTGGGCAGATGTCTGAGCACAAGGGTTGCTGTGACGAGAGCCCCTGGGAGAGGTGAAAAATCCTTAGAATGGGTGCTGGCTTCCTCAGACAGCCCTGTCTGACTGATGCAATCCTCAACTTGGGTCAAGAGGGAGAAGGGTGCTGCTGGGATCCCACTGTCCTCTCAAAAAGGGGCTTTATCACCAATTGCTGAAGGAAGAGCCTGCAAAGGACAGTGGCTCTCCACAGAGGAGCCTTCCCCAGCCACCCCCTGAGGAGACCGCACCTCACAGGGGCTCCCCATGGCC